CAAACTCAACTCCTGGTGATTACATGGATTTTTAATTTATTTTTATTTTTTTTTGGTCAAAAACACGGAAGGCTTCGCTATTGTGTTCTTCCTTTTTTTTTTTTTTTTAAATTTCCCAGTCCATCCAAATACAACTCTGGTCAGAACTTGCTGAGCTTTGCAAGATCATCCAAGGTCTGCTAGATGCTGTCTTCTGAAGTGGGAGTCATGTCCAAAATATGAATACCAGTACTCGTATGTAGCTCCTAGCCATTTTAGCTGAAGGGAATTCAGAGTCTTAGAAAATTAAAGAAAAATTTAATTCAACTAGGTTTCTGAATATAGAACTTGTTAGCTCTCAAATACTGCTAGACTGTAAACATTATTGACCAGCGGACTTTTTCAAGCATTTGAAATTATATTTCTTTACTTTAGCCTTTCCCACATAGGAGCCTCATGATGTTTAATCTATCATCCTCACATGCTGACACCTGGATTTGCATTGCACTGTTTGTCCCTTTTGCTAACTGCTGCAAACTGATTTTGGCCAGGAGCAACCAACATACAAATTATATAAATAGTTACTTCACTACCACATAATGCCTCAAATGATACATTCCTTTCACTTAAGGAGGCCTCAGTCTTCCCAGTGTTGTGATGCATGTTCTATCTTTAAACATGGACACAATCAGCAGACATTTAAAAATCTAGATAATAAAAGCAGAAATAAAGAGAAATCTTACATAGCATTAAAAAAAACTTTTTAGTATTCTATAGCAGCTGTGACCTGGTAAAATCTAATTATTTCTCTAGGACCCCTTGGAATTGTTCAAGAAGATTTGTTACATTTCTAGCTGAAGCATTAAACACTTGGCTAAGCTTCACTGACTAAGATAGCTGAATGTGCATTCTGCATATCTTTTTATGAACTTTCCACTGATACATGTAGAGAAATTATATAACATGCACGATAACCTGTTGAATGATTTAAATGGACTAAGCTTCAGGGTTCTATAAAAGGAAAAAAAAAGTATTTGCAGAACAGAAATTCCCCAAAGCAAACTATTGAACAATATTCTACAGTGAACTTTTTAAGCCAAAATCTGTTTGCTTCATTGATGCAAATGCTAGTAACGCTCTAAAAAAGGACAGGGTTAAATGTTTTTATGTTTTCCTCTATCTCCCAGTATTTCAGGTCTCCCATGATTTCCATACAACAGAATTTTTAAATGACCAGATCTCTTGTGAACCTAATAACCTTTTCTGTTTTTTTCTGATGCCCACAAGAACTGTCATTTCTGAACAACAGAGATCAGTGCACACTTCTTATCAGGTTTGAACACACAGAATGCAGCCAAATACTTGAAGGCAGCCTACAACTGACCAGATTTGGGGTCAACATATTGGAAAGAAATGTGGATGCCAGGAAATGAATCACAACCCAGTTAATAAATTACTAGCGAAAGATAGTTAGATTGCAACAGAAGACCCCAGATATATTCAAATAGTCTTATCAAAGAGATAAGGCATGATTGTCTACAATGCTTTCTCTGTTCTAATCAGAATTTCCAGCTATACAGCCTGAAATCAGCAGCCCGGTCTTTCCAAGTACTAACACTGATTTCAACTGTAAGGTAAAGGTGTTGTTAACTGCATCTCTATGAACAAAACATGCATAGTTGAAAGTGTTTCCAATTTCCATGCATCTGACTGATTCATGAAAGCTTATGCCATAATATTTCTTTTAGTTTTCAAGGTGCCTCACTTGACAATTTTTAAATTTTCCCAAAAATATCTCTGATGCAGTTTCCTACTCCATTTTTGATATACATAAAACACATTGTCAACAAAGTCCACTTAATGTTTTCAGAGGATCTGGAAAGAGATTCATCTGCTTTTGTTCCTTCATGCTGGATATTAAAACTGCATCTAAAATACCCAACATCTCCCAAATGAACTCTTAATACTACCCTTTTCCTCTCATTAAAAAAAAGTTTATGACCTAAGAAGGTAATAAGAAACGTTGCTGATAAATTCTCCAGCAAGTTAATTATATAATTTTCAAGCACAGAATTTAAAGCATATGATGGATTAGTGGAATGACTGATCTATGCAATCAATTAATAAACGTCATGTGCATTCCAAATTGTGCCCGATCTAAATATTACGTCCAGAACTATGTCAAAAAGGTATCTGCACATCTAAATGTTGCCCAATGTACTTGTTTGAAGATGACTCAAATGTTTTAGGCACAGCTAACTCTGGTGAACAGTAATCCAGTTCCTTACTTGTTTTGGCACACAAAATTTGATTTGCCTTCTCTGACGCCCTCTGGCGTCTGCCTGCCTGCTCATTCAGTTGCTGCTGAAACAGAGCCAAAGCCATACCCACTGATGACATCACCTCTTTACTCAACCACTGTTAGGTGAAAGCTTTAACTTCAGACTTTGGAGGTGGGCTGTGCGCACGTAACTGGAATGCTATCCCCCTCGCTCTTTCTCAGTGAGGGAGAAGGAAACTGACACAGTGAAAGCGCCTACAATAGCTTGCTGATGCTGCTTTTTGTCTGTGGTTTCTGAAACGGAGAGTCTTTATATCCATACTGGAATTACTGGGGTCCTGCATTTATAAATGGGATTTCTAGATTTCTTGTTGCTTTTTTTTCCTACTACAGCCTACTGGTAAGTATTTTCACTGTTTTCTTATAATTTACATTCAAGTTTGATCTTCTTTTCCATTCAGAAATTATTACATTTAACTAAACTGAATGAGGAAGGAAAAATAAGGAACACGAAGAGACTGTTTCAAATCAACAATGCTATGCAGACAGAGCATTTGTAACTATATGAGTTAAAAACAATAAAAGCTGATGGTTAAAAACTATGTGTTCAAACTGAAGCTTTGTTAAAACAAACATATCTATCTAAATAATCAAATGGCAGACTTTGCTGTTTTGTTCAACAAAATGCTAAAGAGCATAAAGAGCACACCAAAATTCAAGGTGCATGTTTTTTGCTGTCTCCAATGCTGTATATGCAGCATGTGTGTTCCCTTAATACTTATTTTTACAGCTAAACAAGGAGATCAATAGTCCTTTAAAAAAATGAGTGCTCCGTTCAAGAGCCAACATCTTAGTCTTCTTGGAAGAAGTTTTATCATTCTTTGAAAAGGATAGACAAACAGCTACACCTAGATTTTAAAGCTTGCACTACTACTGGAATCACATATTTGTTTGATGCAATCTATCACCTAAAGCAGACTGGCATGCATGCATGCACACACACACATGCACACACACACATACATGCATACATATGCACATACAACAATCTTTCTTCAGTTGATGCCAAAGATACCTACACTATGTGACCTGCATTACAAGCCAATAAATCTAGTAATACAAATTAAGCCAACAAATTTCATGATACTTTAGAGTACAGTATGACACAAACAGTGAGATAGAGACTGCCACATTGATTTTTTAAAACAGTAATCTAGGTATTTTGTGTAAAAAGCTTTTGCAATTTATTATTCTCTGGAAACCCAATGTCTTCCATGTTGTAACAGATATGACTGTATGTTATTTCTAAAACTATAAATATGGGATTTATATTTAAATTTAAATATTAGAACATGTATGTATGCAAAACAACAGTATAGGATTCTAAAAGGCCTACTTTTCCAATAGCTTCACTTAAAACTTTATTTTAAAAGAGAAGAAGAATGAACAAAATATATGGCTTAATTGCATAATACTGGTTCTTACAGAGAATTGTCCAAAACCATCTAATTGCAACAGCTTTCTCCTCCATTAACTGAATACATTAGAATTGATAATATATTACCTTCAACCCTTATTAAACTATAATCCAGGGCTCATTCATTTATTTAGAAGTAAACCACGCAGAGCTGTAGTCTCGGCAGACAGCCATAGTCCTGTCCTTAGCTCATTATTCCCTATGAAAAAGGTATACATGGCTTTCTAAACATTATTCAGGGTAATATAAGTTCACACTAGAATTGCTTCATGTACATGTAAATTACTAAGTAACTGTCTACTATATACACATAACACACTCATACAGAGCTTAAATCTGCCCAAGAGCTGTGTTTATAGATGGAAGTATGGAAAATAAGTAGAAGTATACTGAAAACACTTCTCCATTAAAAACAGCCCCATGTTTTGTAAGTACTTGGACCTAAAAATCAGTAAGTAATTTAAGATTTTAGTTAAGAAATTTTGTAACAACTTTGTAATAGCAAGAATCACTCAAAGTTTATCTAAGTACACTAAATAAGATTCAGTTGGTTAGCACTGAACTTACAACCAGTATGATCTATAACTAACTCCTTAACTTATCAGGAGGAAGCTTGTTTCACTGATTGATTTAAATATTACTATAAAGAGACAGTCATTTACAAGTTAAATGCTTTACATTCACTATTATTAAATGCAAAATCACTAGATAATTAAAGACTGCCTCAATGAAATTTTGAAAGGTGGTAGAGAGGAGAAAATGATGAGTTTCTTACTTTCTTTTCCAGCAATTATTCTTCTGTAATTCAATTTGGGAAAAGCTAAGTTGAAATTTGGGAACCTAACAGGGTTTGATTATGATGTCTAACCCTGTCTCCTATAAGACACTAGTTTCAAAGCAATATGAATTTCAAGTTATTTATATAGGACTAGCTCTTATATTTAAAAAGTTTTTATGAAACCTTTAATGTTTTTAGGAAAAGCTTTCGTATGTGCAATGAAAGCAAGATTGCTAGTATTTTTCTTAATATAGTTAATGTTGTTGGACTGAACAGATAAACATATTTTACTTTCCAACATTTCAGATATCAAAGTTGAGAGCAGAGGATTCATATGCATAATGTATTATACTGGAAGAGAATTTCCTCCATCTATTTAAATTTCAGGAACTATTCACATTGCAAGATGTTTTTCCCTTCAAAGCTTTCCTTCTAGTTCTGTGTTCTTATCTTTTCCTTTAAGGAACGTTGGCCACCTACTGACATCAAACTTTATTTATATTATTGAGGTATTCAGATTGCATTTCATTTTGGAGTGCAATCTCCCTGGAAAATGAGTTTCATAGAATAGCCACCATGAGAAGTAAATGCTTTCTGCACTATGTATTTGTTCCTCTGGAATCTTCCACTCTCTTCCTACCAGAACCCTTTGTGATTAAAGCAGTGAAACGAGACAGTTGCATTAAAAAGGAGAGAGAAATTTGCAGTTGCTGCGAAGAGATTTCTTGTAGTGTGTGCTACCCCCCAGTGGGCAGAATTTCTGTGCTCAAATTACAGCAGTCTTAGATTGTAGGAATACAGTACTGTCTTTTAGCGCAAACAACTAATCCAGCAGATAATTTGTTTCGTTTTTCTCCTAAAATTTAAATAAACTAAAGAAAGAACCTATAATTTCTGTACTGTAACTAATGGAATTTGCTGAACAATAGCAATGCTTCTTTCTGTGCATAGGAAGTTGAACTCTAAACATGTAATTTAACTGCATCAGATTTTGATTATTTCTAAGAACTCAATCACATGGATCTTCAGTGATTTCAAACAATTTTACTTCTACAAAAGTGTTCTTACAATCATTATCTAAGCAATTAGAAGACATACTATAAAATTAAGACCTAAAATTAACAAAACATGTTAAAACTGTATCAAATATCAGCAATAAAATATGTACTATAAATTTGGTAGTGTTAAATTAAAAGTTACTATATGGGAAATAAACGATCCAGAAATACATAATAAGACAGGAATCACTGCTATCTAAAGAATGAGAAACTAAAAAAATCTATTTAAAGATGGTATCTATTTAGGTAAGGGCCAAAGATCAAATAGTGAAGGTTCATTCCAGGTATACACTAACCAATATATTTTAAAAATCAAATATTTTTAAGAATTTCAGACCAATCATAACAATTATTACCTAACAATTGGATAAATTAGCAACTTCTGAAAGTTGGGAAAAGTTGAAATTTTAAACATAGCAACTTGGAACTGGTCCCACTGAACTCAAAGTTGAACACACAAAGAATTGTAGTATAAAATATGGAGTCCTAAGCTTACTAATCTGCAAATAAAGCCTGTTGAACACAATACTACTACATTGGGGAGGAAAGGGGTTAGGATAATACTGTAATTTCCCCCAAAATAGGAAAAATGGTTTTGTTTTTGTTGGTTGGTTGTCTTTTGGTTTTTGTTTGCTTGTCCTTCCTTCTACAGATGAACAATATTTGAGTATTGTTCATCTTTGCAACAGATAAAAAGCTTAGTCTTGAATACTACTTATAATTTGTTTAAAAGCTGTATTTTTGTAACTAAAAGTATATTTGTTTACCAGGCATTGTTTTTATATTTAATGCAAGAAATTATATTTCCTATCCTTTTTAGGATGACAAATGCTAAGATACGGGATATCCCTGCTCACATTTTTGTTGTTGTTTACAGAACACTAAACTTCTGGAAAAGCCATTGGCATCAAAATTTATGATTAAAATAATTTAAACATGAAAACTGTGACCGAAGCTGAATATCTCAGGGAGATACCATAGCTATATGTGCTGCTTATTTGCACAAAGCAAAGAAAACATCATTGAAATAAGAGAAAGATACAGAGGATTACTGTTCAAGAAAGCTTTACAATCTTTTGCCCCAAGGAGGATATCTTAATTTCCTTGCCCAATATAAAACAAAATATGAGGCAGCTTCCTGAAATACTACGTTCATATAAACTGTAGCTCACAGGCAGTGTGTTTAGAAAACATGTTGTTATTGTTATCAACGAGTAATAACTTAAAGAAAGCAATTTGATGCTTTTTATTGTCAATGCTGCTAAGTCACATTTAACTAAAATATCCTGATAAAATTGCTTTATAGCAAGTAAAGCTTACTAGTGATTCTAGAATGATTAATCAAAATCCATAGAGGAATTAATACACCTGAAGACAAAATATGAAGAGACATTCTCCTTAATCCACAAGCACTAAAACCTAAATCAGATAGATACACAAAACAATTAGTTTTGTTCAGCAAGGTGAATTCTAATTGTTATCCTGTTGACATCTACAGCCAAAAGATACATATTTGTTTTTCCAAAACATTGCTGTGGATTGCTGCTAGAATGAATTCAGTCTTTCATATCAGAATCTCATCAATGAGCACGCATATACAGTCATATATTATTACCTAAAACATATATGGATATTCTGTTTCCTAAAATACTATCATATAGTTCTATTACGTTATTTAATGTAAGATTCATTCACCTGAATATTTAGAAGTAAAAGATTTTTTTTCAATGCTCCTTTTAAAAAGTTACCCAATTCCATCAAAGTCTTTGACACATACAATGTTTCTTATGTTTATAGAGTCAGCCAACTTTACCAAGCAAACTGGGCATCAATATAAAATTCTTGGCCATTTTTTCAAAATGATACTAATATACTGAGAATGGAGCCAGTAAAAAATGAGGACTTTTTACACTCAGATAGGGTTGTTGTGGACTTCTGCATCCAGGATTTCATTTACTTCTTGTTTTGTTCAAAATTAATGTTCCCTTTCAAATCTGTAGGCCCCAATTTGATGCTGCAAAAAACTGGCCACTTAACAGTGGGGGATATTTCTCTTTTCATCTTGCAAACTCAGCTATAATGACGTGATGTCAAAGAATATGTAAGGACACCGCCAGAAAAAAGGCAGCACTGAACAAGGCAGCAAAATTCTATTCTATGTGGACAGATCACTGGCTTTATTATGCAAACACACTGTTCTCAGCATTAGCTTGAAACATAAAAGATCTCTTGGAATTCCAGGATATCAGATTAAGGAAAAAGTAAAGAACACTGTTCCTCTTTCTAATTGAGAGAAATGAGAACTTAATCCACATTTTTGAAACAATCTTTTCTTTCCTCCAGGGAAACTCACTTTAACTTTTTGTTTTCAGATAATTTTGAGGAAAAGGATTTATAAATACAAGAACTTAATAAACTGTAGTGCCTTCATTTTAATCTAACGCTACAGTTAATATAACAGTGGTAATACATGAGGGATTGAATATCAAACAGTACAAAGGAGGGAAAATTGTAAGCATTTGAAAACTGACACAAATTTTTCAGTTCACAGAAGCAAACATACAATGCTTTCCTCTTCTCAAATAGAAAAATATTTTGCATATTTCTATCTTGTTTTCCCTGAAACAGTCCTAATTAAATCTGTCTTCCTTGTTAATTATATTAAGGTTTTACTTTTCCTATAAATGCAGTTTTTATTCTTCTGTTATCTTTTATATAAATATTCATCCAATTACCCTCTGTGCTAGCCTTATTTGGAACTATTTTCACTATCAAATACTCTGAAAGATTGAAAGGAATGTGTCCATTAACAAGCAAAAGTGGATTACAGAGTTCAAAACTGATTATAAATTGAATTAATTAATTAAAAACTTCAAAACTAATTTCTTTCTCAAAAGTTATATAGCTTAACAAATGAGACAACTTACTAATGAAGTGAGCAACATTTTCTGGTTTCTTGTGAGCCTCTGAGATTTATTTTTCATCTCATTTGACCATAACTATGCTAAACCTTTTTCCAGTTTTTTTTCCAGAATTTTTTTGTATTGATACTATATTTAATGTACTAAATGACAATGAACCTGCTTATCTTAAGAACCTGTTTTCATCATTGTTAAAATAATCAAATTATGTGTATAATAATTTTAAACAAGTTTTCAAATCATAATCTAAGTAATTTACATTCATTTTGCTGAAATAATTTAAAAAGCAATAAAAGCTTGAGTAGTCATTTAACCCTGCAGATATTTATACTATGTATAAATGAGTAATGGTTTAAAAATGTTGTTAGTCAGCATAATCACCAAATATTTTAGGAACTCATTTCTGATTAGGAATGAGAAACTGCAATAGAACTCAATATGTCTGGTGATAAAAAAAAAATGTCATATTAAATTTACTTTAGTTTATTTCAAAGTCTGTTTCAGACTGCAGTCTTAATTATGTAAGCAGAGTTATGATCCTCAGATGAAAAAGTACATTACCCACATGTATACATAACAATTTAAATAACCCTTCTCAGAATGGCAATCTTTCTGCCATGCATCACAACCTAGCTTGTTAAATTAAGTGTTTAAAAAATAAATCAGATAGTAAGAAATGTAAATGAAAAGATTTTTCACTTTAAAAAAAATCATAAAAGTGGTACAAAATACTGACAACAATCCAAAATATTGTCAAGATATAGCTAATGTTATATGCCATTTTATGTATGTATGTATGTATGTATGTATTATTAAATTTGTATGCCACCCATCTCCCCCCAATGGGTGACTCTGGGCGGCTCACAGT